ACACACACTCTCACACACACACACACACACACACACACACACACACACACACTCACACACACACACTATTATACACAGATGAACTGGTGTGGCTGTAACAATATGGTAAATTTGAGCCAGAAGACTTAAATAAGAGGTTGAAATTAGATTGATTAACCTCTGATAATACATTCCTGTTCATTTTTGTTGAATTTTGATGTCATGTGTACAACATGTCTTTCTCTGTGTTCAGGTTTGACCAATTTAATCCAAAAACTGACAAAAAAAAAAAAAATCTAAACCTTTACAAAAAAGCTGTCTTTGAGAATGTCTAAATATAAATCCAAAATCCGCAACTTTAAAAAAAAGTATTTATGTCTAAAAACAACTAGAGAATTTATAAACCTTTTATATAGAGCTCTATAGGAATCTAGTGGCTAAACCATGGAATTGCAGATGTTTTTATTTTTAAACTCCCACCAGATGCCTGCAAAAACTGGATTGTAAAGGCATTGTCTCTATTTTAACATGAAATACTGCCATAATTGAAAATTAATATTAGATTATTAGAATATTAGATTTATTATTTTTTATTTTCAATGGGAAAAATGTATCATAATTATTGCATAAATATTAAATAAATGTAATTAAATAACATTAATTTCACTGAAAATAAAAAAAAGTTACATTTCAGGTGTCCTGCAACAACACAAGTGTGACTCCCAAATGAACAACACCAGACAGTTAAACCAAATTCTTAAAAGATTTAAAAAGATTTATTTATATTGGTATAGCACACCCATCAACGCCTCTCGGTAAAACTCCAAGCTCCGCCCTTTCCACGGTTCGCCGCCCCTCGAACGAGCCTATCCACGTCAAGCGCGCTGGACTACATCTCCCACAATGCACCGGGACTCTCCCTTCAACGCAGCAGACGCGTGAAATGCGCAATTAAAGCAGCTCGAAGTCGCAGCAGCAGCCGTGAAAGTGAAATGAAATGCGTTTAACCGGCTCTAACCTGCAGAAAGGACGCGTGCAGCCGCGCGTGTGAGTTAGTTTGACGCCGGCGGGGTTTTCTGCGTTAGTGTGGACGGTGACTGGAGTTTCTCACTTCATCAGAAGCTAGTTCAAGAGCTTAGCAGTCCGACAGCACGGGAGTGTGCGAGCAGAGCGTCATCAGACTCCGGTAGAGTCGGTGTTTTTCTGCTGACAGCTTCAACAGGTGCAGGCAGACCGTCAGGTGAGCGGCGAAATGTCACGATAACCGTTGTTTTGCTAACACGCTAACATGCTAAAGCACTTTGAGACTGATATTGAGAAATGTGTCATGAGTTCAGCTCTGTCTCTGAGCAAATATTTAATAACGGACCATTTCATTTGACGTCGGAACATTTATCTGTTGTTGTTTTTGCCAAGTGTTTTATATTTGATCTATTTACACAGTCAGTCAGAATCCTTGGTTGTAAATGATTCCGATGTCTTTCATAAATAAGCGTTAATGTTCTGCTGACAGGTGCTTTGTGTTTAATGCTTTTATCTTTTATTTAAGCTGTTTTGCAAAATAGACAACATAATGATTATGACATGTTTCATAAATATGCATTTAGGTTATATAATTTACTAAATATAAATAATAGGCATTACTGATATGTAAATATTATATTGTAAATATACATATTTATTTTTTAATAAATCAGTTAATGAATAAAAATAGATTAAAATAATGAAAAATAATAATAATAGACGGAAAAATAAAATAAATAATGCATCTACCAGTACAGAAATATAGTGAGTTATAAAATATTATCATATATTAATATGTATATCTCAAAGTCCCTTTAAGTCATAGACTTTGAGATATATATATATATATATATATATATCAAAGGCATCAAACTGGGGTTTGTGGAAAGGCTTAGAGAAAAACAATGTAATAAACAAATAATAATAAAAATAATATTAAACTAAATAAATATAAATAATATGTATTAATGATAACCTTCTATAAGTGGTGTGGTTAATCTGATAAATGATAGCAGTGTGTAACAATTTAATTTTTCCATAATTGGGTATTTATTGGTATTGGTAATAATTTTTTTATTTTATTTATTTTTTATTCTGTATATGTAGAGATGTCAGTATGTGTTTTTGTATAGTTACACAAGTATGAACGGTGTATGGAGGTGTGTATGTACACTATATGTGGGTGGGTGTATATATTTATATGCATATATGTATCAATACATTAGTATTTTTTTTTCTTCTCCGATTTGCTGGGTTTGGGGATTGTTCTCTAAAATGTGAAAAGCTTAAATTTTTTATTTTTTTTAATTTATTTATAAATATTTATTTTTTAATAAATAAATTAATGAATAAAAATAGATTCAAATAATGAAAAAAATAATAATAGAGGGGAAAAAATAATGCATCTACCAGTAAAGTAATATAGTGAGTCAAAAAAAAAAAAGTAATAGAAATGAAACGCATAATGTTTTACACATTTATATAATTTTGCACAGTATAAATTGGGTCTTTATACATGGAAATATATGCAGCTGTCTTTTAAATTTTGGGATTTGCACAAGGATGATTATATTTGGGGGTGGCATCTGAAAGATTGAAAAGCCTTGCTTTTAGGTGTCTCATTTATAGCCTGTCTTAGCATGTAAACATCAGTTTTCTATGCTGTTTGTTTATTTATGCATAACAGCGTGCAGTTCCACATGAGCCATTGCTTGTGTTTATACTGTCACTGTTTGTTTGCTGTTGTTATTTTTGTTGGCTGTCTGGTATTTCCACTCCTTGCAAATCACAAAAGGCTTTCAGTGGATCTGTCATCGGATCCGCTGGGAACATAAAGGACTGAGAAAGAGCGAGGCAGACAGGACAGGAGAAGAGTTTTGGAAAAGGTCCCATAGTTCAACCCAATGGGAAACAGATCCTGCTCTCAGTCGCCTTGGTGATTTAATCATTAAAGAAACCTTTTCACACTTGAAATAGTTTAAATCCGTGTCGGTTTTAACCCTAGGTTAACAAGCCTGGGTTGTAGGTTTCACACTGTTGGTATTTTACGCAGCATGAAGTACGAAGTTTTAAATAAAACAAAGATTATTGGAATACATTTTATATAAAAAAAAAAAAATTACAAAAAAGATACATACATACATACATGCATATATATATATATATATATATATATATATATATACATGCATATACAAGTACAGTCTTTCGTCTTCAAAATTCAGTGTTACTTGTCGCTTCTTTGTATTTATTTGTGAAATTTACAGTAATTTCTGAGTGCAAACTGTTTCAACACAATTTTTTTTTTCAATGCATGAACATTGTGAAACATTGAAACCAAGATTAGGTTCCTGACGATAAAAATGACTTTGGTTTAGGGCTGCACGATATTGGAAAAAACTCACATTGCGATATTTTGTTTTCTGCGATCTATATTGTGATATAAAATCACCAGATGACTTGAATATCTCTATTTGAACAAAGTACTCAATGATTGGGGTGATTTTGTAGGTGAGTAAATCAGCATAGAAAATGACAAACAAATTACAAGCGTAGATAAATATAATAGAACAAAGATACAAATGAAATAAACAGTGCTTTATATTTTTCAGGTAAGTTTAACAGTGTTATTCAGGTACAGAAATTGAATTAAATCTAATAAATCTGTGTTTAAAGCTACAAAAGTGATTTTTCTGTGTTTTGTTGTTTGATTAACATTCATGACACAGAAAGCAACAGGAACATTAAAATGCTGTGAACCAATATACTGTTACACATCTGTTTTCCTTCACCTAAGCCATAAGCAACTGTGTTTACAAGGATACTTGCAGAGACATGCATTTTGACATAATTTCACTCGTAAGTGTCGTTTCAGGCACAAATAGACGAAGTGAAGGATTTCGGTGTTCATGTGCATCTGTGTGAGCACAGAAAACAGCGCGTGTTCATAATTTAGCTCTATTTTGCGATCGAATG